GATGGTCCTGGGCTAGGGCTGGGGGTAGACGGGAGATCAGAGACCTTCCCTTGAGCAGCTGACAACGTAACAATGGGCAAACAAACCAGTTTACGTCAAACAACTGGGAAATGGAACAACGCTGCAGTGAGCCTAAGTAAATGAGAGGAAGGCACACACAATGAAGAGTATAAAATTAAACTCAAAGTGTCTCTCCTTCGGCCCTTACTGTCCTCAAGACACTGCCTTACTTACTATCTGTATCCAAGCTCTTGGACTCTCTGTTCTGGCTGCCCCATTCTCTCCCGGCCCTTATCCACCACTTCTCCAGCCACTGAATGCAAGCTTCAACCAACCCCCAGTGGGTGCATTTGGAGAGCCCCCAGACCTGGCCCCGGACGCAGCCAGAGAGCCCCTTTGTGCTCAGAGGCATGCAACCTAGAAGTGCGGTTGCGGGAGCTCGGTGGGTTGGGCTACCCTTCACGGATGGAGGACAGGGGCTGACAGATAATGCGTCCTCTCCGAGCCTCCCAGGCGGACTTCCAAGATGCCCAAGGCTGCACAGAAGGTCCAAAGGCACCCAGAGCGAGTTGGTCACGATGGTGACCAATCTGGTGGCAGAGCATTCCCCCTGGGGCTTCGAGGAAAGGTGCAGGACAGAAAGTGAACCCAGGACTTCGGCACCACGGGCATGGCATCTCACACCACGAGGAAGAGTGACATCACCGTGAGAGACAGAGGACCTGCCGGGGCGGAGCCCCGTGCTACAATGTTCAGATGTCCAGAGTCCACAGTGGCCAGCTTTCCTCCTCTTTGGGGCATTTCCTTTCTGTTACACACATAATAAGACACTTTGTGGCCTTTTCTGCCATCGGTTTGGACTCTCTTCTTACTCCTTAGAAGACTTATCCTTTATAACCTTTACAACGTGTTGAACTTCCTCAGACTCAGTCTTATGCCTTCTTCACTTCCATATAGCTCCTGTAACTGTCCCCATGGGTCACGTCATCTACACCCACGGTTGTACTTCCCTCCTTTAAGTTAATTACTTTTGAAATTTTCTCCATTCCAGACACGGCTTATGGGATTCACACCCGTACATATTTTTTAATGTTTATTTATTTTTGAGAGAGAGAGAGACAGAGTGTGAGCAGGGGTAGGGGAGGGGCAGAGAAAGAGGGAGACACAGAATCCGAAGCAGGCTCCAGGCTCCAGGCTCCGAGCTGTCAGCACAGAGCCCAACGTGGGGCTCGAACTCCTGAACCTTGAGACCATGACCTGACGTGAAGTCAGATGTCTAACCGACGGAGCCACCCAGGTGCCCCCCAACCCATCTTTCCGGCTATTTTCTTGTAAACTGTAAACTCTTGTTAAACACCCCAGAGTCGCCTGAAACTCAGTTCCAGAAGCAAGCCCATGAACAGCCCAAGATATCGCCACCCTCTTTGTAACCCTGAACCTGATGGGTGAGCCCCGTCTTATCTCTAGCCACACTGGGTTCCTCTGTACCTCTTATTCACCACACACACCCTCCCCACCGGACTCTGTCAGAGTCCAGCTGAAGATCTGATTCCTTCTGGAAGCCTTTCCGGGTCTACCTAACGGGGTCAAATTTTTGTTTTATGCTCATGAAACTCCTCTTGGCAGTTCTACACAAGTGGCACTGGTTCTGTGCCTATGTGACTGTATTGCAGGCTCCATGACATAAGGTAGCTTGCCTCTTTTGCACGACTTAGTGCACAAAATGAAACTGAAGATATAAAAGAATCATTGGACCTGTCTCCGCAAGACTAGAAGGAGCTCGAATCTTCCTGAGGAAAGAGCCCTGTGTCCAAGCCCTAAAGAAGGACACTTACCTAGGTTTGCCAGGTAAGTGCTTTCCATGGGCTATCCCATCCAGTCCCCACCTGAGCGTGGCTAGATGCCCACTGACCCCTTGTTCGAGGCAGGAAGCTGGGCTCCAAAGAGCTGATTGTTCCAGATAAGCACTTGAGCCCGGGGGCTGCTAGATTTGCAAGTGCACCGTGGGCGGGGCAGCAGAGAGGAGCAGTTGGAAGAATCGCTGTTTTCCTAATGCAAAGTGCAATATTTGGGTATTCTGGGTGGAGCTGTGACCCAATGTATTGAAATTTTATTGCAAATGAAACATTTAGGCTATTACACGAGAGATGCCTGGTAATTGGACAGTTGGTTCATACAAAACTATTTTTTAGGACAGTCTTTTCAATGAGAAGTTGAGTTAGTGCCTAGAAACAAGGTATCCTGGCTGCCTTTGAAACACACAAATAAGGATGTGATAGACATAGATCCAAAGATAGAATTCCAGTTTCCCTACCATCAGATAGGAATCACATATGGTCATACCAATTTGGGAAACACTGTGTAACCCACATGAGAATATGAAAAGCTTCAACATATCCTCAGTAAAGAAACTTACTTGATTTTGTTTAACTAGAGTTCTTAAATTTATGTGACTATGGAAACTATTTTTTTTTTAATATCCAGGGATAATGACACAGACATTAAAAACAAAGTCGAAAGTCCTGGCTTGTGCCATTTCCTCCAGAATTACAGATCTAGACCCTTCCCTTGTAAGCCACCCACTTTTCTAAAAATATCTGCATCTTAAGTTATCCAGTTAGGAAGTTATGTCTAACACCCAACTCCAAGTCGTCCTGCAGAGGGCCAACATTTCCTCCAGAAGAACAGAACCTGTGCTTAGTTGTATGTCTGGTAACTGCTCACTACTTGAAAACCATGCAGGGTTGTTCCTTCGATTCAAGTTTAAAGTATCCATTTGCAGAGAATTTTTACAGAGCACACATTTTCAATACTTCAATTAGTTTTACCGTTCACTAAATCCACTCCTAGTTTCTTACACTTTCCTACTCCAACACAGTCCTACCCCAGAGGCCAACGGATGCTGTGTGTTGAGAAACGGTTCCTTCAAGGTTCCTGTGGACAGCCAGTGTTTTTACATGGCAAAGACTCATATTTAGCAAAGTGTTCTTTACCAAAAGAGTCATCGCTTGGAATGGGAGTCCATGGCACTCTTTCAGAAGGGGCATCGGGAAAGACAAGGAAGACCGATGGAGAGTTCTACCATGCACAGAACAGAATCATGGATGCGCCCAGATCCCCCCGATGAGCAGACAGGAGACTCTCTTCTGTAAGATTTGGGAGAACAAATACAAAGTGTTGTGCTGAAGGCTTCTAGGAGCAGGAAGCTCATGAGGAAACCAGGCAACCCATCCTGGTGTTGAGACCCTCCCACTGAGAAAAGAGGCTCTACTAAGATGACCTAGCATCTGTCTTCCTAAGCTTTTCTCACATGGGTGTTGGCTGTGTCTCTCCCAGACAAACCCACGACAAAGGCATTACCCCATCCCTATGAGAGCCTTCAAGTACCTGCTGAGTTTTTTTCTCTTATTCAAAAGCAGAGATGACACTTTTGGTAGTGTCCGCGAAGGGAGCTGAACCACTCTGTGATCCACGTCCAACACGCCCGTGTGCTTGAGGCTTAGAGAGGCAAGCCCAGGGGTGGGTATAGGACTCGCACAGTCCCAAGGCTGAAGGATGCCTTCTACCACGTCCAGTTCCCTCACCTCCCGCAATCAGATAAAGATGACCAGCTGTTCCAAAGGAGGTGGATGGAAACAATGAAAACTTTTGTGTTATGGACATTAAAACAACAGAAGGTGGAAGAGTGGAGACAGTTTTTCAAAAGATGTACATTTTGAGGAAAAAGATGGAAATCTCCAATAAATAATCCAGCTGCCAAATACCTTTTAAAAGAAATTCTAAACATTCTAGGATTGGGCTTGGATCTCCATGCAAACCAAGCCCCCAGGTACTCCAGCGGGATGTCGTTCAACAAGCTAGCCTTCTCGTGCAGGGACAAGAGCCTCTCAAACACACCAAGAAGGTGTTCAGGCTTGACTTAAAATCCAGGTACCCTTAGAGCTCACAGAAGCGTCACAAAACCCTGGACAGAATGGTCTCAGAAGAACAGGAAAGGCAGTGGAATTCTGTATTTTGCTTGCCAGGGAATAAAGTTCCACAAATGCACATTTCTAAAGTTGCTAATCTCTTATAAGCTGAACATCTGCTTCACTGATACAAATAAATTTCACCTTCAAGCTCATTTAAAATTAAAGAGCCAAGATGAATTTTAAGTTATGAGCATGTTGGGGCGCCTGGGTGGCACAGTCGGTTAAGCGTCCGGCTTCAGCCAGGTCACGATCTCGCGGTCCGGGAGTTCGAGCCCCGCGTCGGGCTCTGGGCTGATGGCTCGGAGCCTGGAGCCTGTTTCCGATTCTGTGTCTCCCTCTCTCTCTGCCCCTCCCCCGTTCATGCTCTGTCTCTCTCTGTCCCCCAAAAAATAAATAAATGTTGAAAAAAAAATGTTAAAAAAAAATAAAAAAAGTAAATTATGAGCATGTTAAAAGAATAAAAGGAAAAGAAAGAGCTAGTTTTAGGCAGCCACTAAAGCCCAGAGTGAGATTTTATAGAAACTTCTGGTGCAATTTTATGGGAAGCTCATATATGAAGTGCTAAAAACAGGGGTTTATATAATGAAAAGTGATATTTCAAGTCTTGTCTAGAATACTATGATGGCTAAGAGATAATTAACATTTCATTTTAGTTTAGGGAGAACCTGACAGTTGGTTTTTGTTCTCGGGATAAAATTTATGGTATGATTGAGAAAATGGCAAGAAACAGAGCTGCACAAAAGGGTAAGATAAATCTTTATAAAAAGACAACTTCTAATCACGTCCCTCAAGAAAATCCTACGAAATTGCCCCTAAAAGGAGTGATTTTTTTTTTTTTTTTCTGCCAAAGGGATTTTTATACCTTTCTTCTCTCCTAGGTGGCAGTGTGGCTAAAAAGAGACTTTTCGGGACCCATCAACTGTTTCAGGATTCCAAGATCACGGAGAATGAAGGTTCAAGGGAAAATACTTAATAGGGTCTCAGAAGGGAGAAACAATTTTTTTATAGACAGAAAAGAACGGTACTCACTGGCTCCACGTTGTATGAAAACAGAGCATATTCCTTATCTGGAGAGATTTCATATCGGATGGCTCTTAATGATTCCTAAAAGGAACAAAAAAAACACAAATAATTTTATTTTTTTTAACATTTAATCTATTTTTGAGACAGAGAGAGACGGAGTGTGAGCAGGGGAGGAGCAGAGAGAGAGAGAGAAGGAGACACAGAATCCGAAGCAGGCTCCAGGTTCTGAGCTGTCAGCACATGAGCCAGACGCGGGGCTCGAACTTGTGAACCGTGAGATCATGACCTGAGCTGAAGTCAGCTGCTTAACTGACTGAGCCACCCAGGCGCCCCTAAACACAAAGAACTTTAACGTGTGACATGTAACATCGCTCAGAATCTTGTAGTGAATCTGTCCTTGCTGCTTCTGTTTTCAAAATCTGCTAATATAATTTGTATGCAATAAATTCGCTGAAGTCTATTAAAGATGGCAATATCTTTTCTTTGCTGAATAATATTCAGGCAATTGAGACTTTTGCACATTTTGTTCATTTTTTTTTTCAAATTTCAACACAGCAATACTTACAGTTATCTATGGAAACAAATCAATAGAAGTAAAGATGAAAACCAATCATCCCTTCCCATGAGACTCTGTCCTCTCTGTACCTTTAAACTTAGAAGCTGACTTTAAGCAGACTGGTCCCCCAATTTTTTTAATGTTTATTTATTTTTGACTGAGAGAGAGAGAGAGACAGAGAATGAGCGGGGGAGGGGCAGAGAGAGAGCGAGACACAGAATCCGAAGCAGGCTCCAGGCTCTGAGCCATCAGCACAGAACCCGACGTGGGATGGAACCCACAGACTATGAGATCACGACCTGAGCCAAAGTCAGACGCTTAACTGGCTGAGCCCCCCAGGGGCTCCAAGAAGATGGTCCCTAAAAGGCAGAGTCACATTCTATACATTGTTTCGCAGCTTGCTTTTTCACCATGATAGACACCGGCCCCCAAGTCGGTCCGTGTGCAGAGGACCAGCTGTGGTTCTTCTTTCAAATATCTTCATGGGACACAGGCAATCTTACCCACATGAAATCATCAGAAAGGTTATTTCCCTTCCACTCCCCCCCCCACAACCTTCTCCGCTGTGATCACACTGCTGTGCAGACCCCACGCCCACTCTCTGTCCACCTGTCACGGGCAACCCTACCAACGATCATACGGCCACGTGCAAACACACAGATGTGTAACCACAACAAAAAGCGACATCACACCATACATCCCTCACCTGGGTTTTCTTGAGCAACAATTGGTTTGGCCTGAAGTGCTGACCTTCGGAGCTCGCACAGAACTACATGGTGTGGCTCTCTCTTGATTTACTCAGTCCTTACTAAAGCGTGGTTACAGGAGATTCTTGGTATTCATGGCAGTAATGTTCTAGAAAGTCCCCACAAACTCTGGGTTAGGGAAAACTGCCGCACACTGTTCCTAAGGGAAACGCAGCGCTAGGTTCTGGTGAAGGTCTGGTCACAATACTTTGGTCAACCAATCTATACATAACCTTGTTTCACATGTGTTTCTGCTTAAAGACATCTTATTTTTTAAGTTTTTTTTAATGTTTATTTGTGAGAGAGAGACAGTATGAGTGGGAGAGGGGCAGAGAGAGAGAGACAGAGAGAGAGAGAGAGAGAGAGAGGGAGACACAGAATCTGAAACAGGCTCCAGGCTCCGAGAGCTGTCAGCACAGAGCCCAGTGCGAGGCTCGAACTCATGAACCGCGAGATCACGACCTGAGCTGAAGTCAGATGCTTAACCAACTGAGCCACCCAGGTGCCCTTCAAGACATCTTACTGACTGTATGCCGTTGACTCACTGACACTGAACTCATAGTGAACAACACTATACTCAGCCTGAACAAGTCATCTCACAAATGTGTCTTCTCCATATGGCACATCACAGCCTTCTTGCATTTCGGAACACTACCGCACTCCAGCATTATCCTTGGGGGCCATTTTAAACAGCATAATCACCAAGAAAAAGCACAAAGAACATGGAAAGCAGGGCACGACACAGACCACACACACACACACACACACACACACACACACACACACACACACCTGTTCACAGCATGAGATCTGGAACCCCAATTTTTTGGCCACTATGCACACATCTGGGAATGACTGGAAAAGCACCATGAGTGTTCGTCTGGACATTACAGACACAGTTTAGCACACGGCCGCCTCTGCAAACACAGAAGCTGTGAGCGGCGAGGATGGGCTGGGATGTGTGTCCAGTACAGTTACGACATGCAACATTGCAATAAAACTCCTCACCCACGTTTGTTTTTTATGGAACACATTTCTAAGGGTGGGGCTGATGATGCACAAGTTTTTAAAAAGTGCAAATAGATATTGCCCAGTTGCTTTTCGAAATGTTTCTGGAATTAACACTCTCATTACTGATGAGCGAATGCATCCTTTCTCCCTTCTCTGGCAGAAGTGCTGCTATCCATTCTTCCGTTTGACCCTCTGATGGATGTCAGGTGGTGCCTCGCTGAGAGTTTAGTTCCTATTTCCCTGCCTCGGGCACATTTGATCCTCACTGGATATTTCTGGCAATGCGGATTTTATCTTTAGAAAACTGTCCATCCCTGTCTCCTTGAAGGTACCTGTTATGCTGAGTTTTCTATTTTTTCTGAAGCTCACTCCTACCATGTTTTTATCCCCACTTCTCTTCTCAAGGTGACCGGAGACTAACTTGCTTAATGTCGTCATGATGTCTCAATTCTCCTCTTGGCACAACTCATCACTTGCTCCTCCTCAAAACCCTGCCTCCACTTGGCTTCTAGGACGCACACCTGGTTTTCTCGTACCTCCTCGATGCTTCTCTTCATGCACATTCGCTGGTTCCCTTCATTTCTCTGACCTCTGAATGTTGGAGTAACCAACATAAATGACTGGGTTTCCTATCAGAAATCACGTTTCTGACACCATCCACACTCGTGGCTATGAAATCCAAGTACCTGCTGACAATTCCAAGCGTCACATGTCCAAGACCCTGTGAACCCAACTGGACTTGACCCTGATCTTCAGATGTGTATGTCCCACTGCTTCCCTGGCACCTCCACTCGAATGTCAAGTGGGAGACTCAAGGTAACGTGAATACAATACAGCCCCTCATATTCTGTCCCTTCTCCCTCCAGCCCCAGCAACCCCACCCCCTCAGCCGCTCAGGGCAAACTCCTGGCTCTCCTCTCCTCTGTCTCACACATCTTAGATCTAGCCAAGCAGAAACCACTGTTGGGCTATCATCAGAGTCTATTCAGAACAGGCTTTCCTTCCCCCCGCCACCACCCTGGTCTCAGCATGAGTCTTCTGCTCGGGCCATGGCAGTAACCTTCCAGCGGTGTCCCCAGGCTCTAACTTTGTCCCCTGCACTCTACTCTAGCTTCAGGGGCCGGGGCCAGCTTTTCAGTACAGGAATCATCACCTTGCCCTCTGCTTGAAGCCACACCACCTTGGCTTCCATCACAGTGGGCTAAAAGTCAAAGCTCCCACTGAGCAGTGGGGCTACTCCTTGGTCCCCACCTCCAAGTATGGCCTCTTGACCCTGTGCACCCCAGCCACACTGCCACTGCTGTCTACACCTTCCATGAGCACGCCAGGCACACGCTGGCTTCGTGGTCTTCATGACTGGTCTTCCTCTTGCTTGAAAAGCTCTAGACTGTCACCTGTCAGCTTTCTTCTCAGGAGCCTCCTTCTAAGTGAAGACTTTCCTCTCTTCCGTGGCCATGAGACCTAGAAATCTCAATAGGCTTGCTTCCAATTTTTCATAACCCTCATCCCTTATTTTCCTAGGCGTACTATTAAAATAATGTATATTTAACCTATTTATCTTATTTAGTGCCCGTCCCCTCCCCTAGAATGTAAGCTTCTCGAAACGAGGGCTTCTGAAAGAAATCTTTAACTTCTCTCTGCAATGCTTTGTAGTTTTCAGCGTACAGCTCTTGCCCGTGTTTTGTTAGATGTATCCCTAAGTATTCGGCATTATTGATGTTTTATATATGTAAAATATACACATATCAATATTCAGTTGTTTATTACTAACATATGGAAATAGAATTGATTTCGGTACCTTGACCTTTTGTTCCGCGACTTTGCTAAATTTCATTAATTGTTACAGCAATTTTTTTGTACATTCTTTAGAATTTTCTATCTAATCATATTTCCTGTGGCTGAAGAGTTTTTTTTTTTTTCCACTCCTTTCCTAATTAGATGCATTTTGCTTCTTTTTATAGCCTAATTACACACTAGAGAGCCGCCAGTATAATGTCCGGAAATATAATGAGGGTGGACACCTCGCCTTTTTCCTGATCTTAGGGAGAAACATCCAGTCTTCATTAGTAAGTGTATTAATGGCAGGTGCTTTTGTAGATGTCTGTTATCAGGTTGAAGATGCTCCTGTCTATTTCCAGTTTGCTCAGAATTTTGACAATGGATGTTGAGTTTTATAATGAGTGTTGAATTATCTCAGATGCTTCTTCTGCATTTTTGGAGATAATTATGCTGTTTTGCTCTTTTCAGTCTGTCAAAATGGTTAATTACATTGTTTGATGTTCAAATGTTGAAGCAAACTTGCATTCCTTAGATAATCTCTATAGGTCATGATGTATTAACCCTTTTATATACTGCTAGACATGATTTGCTATTTTGTTGAGGATTTTTGCACCTGTGTTCATAAGGGACATTAGTCTGTGGTTTTCTTTTCCGGTAATAACCTCGTTTGGTTTATAATTGAGGGAAGTGCTGGCCTAATAAATGACTTGGGAAGTATTTCCTCCTCTTCTATTTGTTTTGTAAGTTTGTACAGAACTGGTATAATGTTTTCCTTAAATGTTTGGTAGAATTGACCAGTGAAGCCATGTATTTGCACCTTGAATTTTCTACATGTGGAACTCTTGGACCATTAATTCCTTTTACATCAATATAGGACTATTGAGAGTCCCTATTTCACTTTTAGTGAGCTGTCATAATTTGTATCTTTTAAGGATTTATTTATTTCACTTGTTTATTCTCATTTCATTGTCAAGTTTATTGATCTATGG